CAATAAAAATTTTAAATAATATCAAATTCACTCTATAACTCGCCATAAAGGCCAATGGCCTTTATAAAATTTAAAATTCTGCTGGGAACAGATATTTTTCGATATTAGACGATGAAGAGATCTTTAACGTGCACGACTTGCACACGTGCCCTCCGAGATTTGTCACCCTTGTCTGAGGAGGCTAGGTGTAGATCTTTCCTGTAGATCAGGGGTATGGCTGAAAGATCAGGGGTATGGCTGAAAGACAGCAGTGAGAAGGAGCCAAGGAGTAGCAGTAGAAAGGCTGTCGAAAGAGTTAGCAGCCCAGAGGAGGAGGCAAAGGAGGTGAGGGGGTGGGGGCAGTAAGAGGAGACGAAAGCAGACAACATACCATTGCTAAAGAGCAGGAAAGGAAGCAATTTTAGAGAAGAAAATTTGTCGGTCGCTACCCGAATTCAAACACGGGACCTTTGAATGAAAGGCCAACACCTTAATCTCTAAACCACGAGAACCCCCAAGCATATTCTCAAAAACAACAATGCAAAGTATGGCCATGCATTATGGACGGGAGGAGGGGGGATAGGTGGAGAGGTCATTAGACGGGTGGATAGCATTTTATTCTAGCTGAGATACAGTCGTTGAATAAATCCTCAGTGTTGTTGCAATCACCTACGTCATTGTTTTGTTTTGTTTCTTTTGTTTACGGGGAAAGGAGGGGTGTCCGGGAGTGGGGAGGTAGTTTAGGGTGATGGTGTGGTTTTAAGTTTTTAGAAAAATAAACCAAACGAGAGCGCCCGAAAGAGAGGCATGACCTTGAGCCCTAGTTATTTTCTAATGAAAAGCTTTGAAGAAAATACCGAAACAGAAGGCTTTATCTACAAACCTCTACAGATTTGGGCGTTTGTAAACTGACATTGAGATAATACAAATATTTGGCCAAGAAAAGTGTTCAAGCGAAAGACTGCCATAAACATTATTTTATTTGGACTAATAAATGCTTACACTAACTTGTCTGCCCTTGACACTTGAATAATTATCCTGGAATAAATTTGTAATGAATGAGACCTAGAGTCTGATAACATTTACACATCTTTGGTTAACAATCAATGAAAGATAATCTCGATATCATGATACGGCAAAGATCTACTTCTTATTCTGTGTCAACATTTTTTTTAAAAACCTACATAACATTCTAAAAGTGTAACTTTTGAAAAAGAGCTTTGGACACCCTCCCACCCACCACTCAGACATATGAATCGATGCATACCAGATAATTAAATATAAACGTTCAGTGTTGTCTAGGCATTGAAGAAGACGATTAACTTTCTTTTATTCCTTTTTGGACAACGTATCACCCAGTCATCATCATCATCATCATCATCATCATCATCATCA